TTTTTACATGATATATAGGTAAAGTAAATTAAAAAAGAAGAAAACTCTATGCAATCCAAGCCAAAACACCAAACTCTTTTCTTATCTAAATTAAAATTTGGTAAATTTTACCTATTTTAGATTGTTTAATAAGAGAGAGTTCGCTCTCATTCCTTGATTCTACTAAGAAGTTATATGATTCAAATCGAGGGCATAGGCTACTTAAGTTGGTTTTTTCATTTTTTTTTTTTTTTCATGAACAACAAAGAAATTAATAGCAATTTTTATTAATGAGATAGGAAGTTAGTGTAGTATAAATTATCATTCTAAATATCTTTTAGATGATCTATTTAAAAATCAATATTTTAGTTAATATTTTTAAAAATTAACTATTGAATTAAAAATTTTATTTATTTAAAGTATGTATGTAAATTTTTATAATAATCTAATATTTATAATTTTTTGATAAAAAAATTTATTTACTAACATAATTTAGCATTATTAAACTTTGTCTAATTACTAAATTACGTATTAAACCAATATAAAAATTGATATACTTAATTTATATGAATAGAACTTTAAATCTAATAATTAATTTTTAAAAATATTGATTATAATATATGTCTTTAAATAAATCATTTAAAAAACCACTTGCAAAACATTTTTCTAAAAAATAAAGAAGATTCGTCAGCCTATAATGTCATTTTTTACAGAACTCCTCAATCTAACAAACGTTCAAAATACAGCTGTGCCAAACTTACAAAACTCCCCAATCTGACAAACATTTCAAAAACAGCTGAGCCAAACAACTAAAGTCAGAAGACAATCTCAATCCTACCTGAGCATGGGCATGTATAAAGATGAAATCTCTCTTCCCTTAATTTTCGGTGACAAAATATATTTTTTATGATGAATTTTTTTCATCATCATTAAATATGTGTGCATATATGACTAATTTTTTAAATTTATCACAATTGTGATTAATTATAGTGATGATTTCAAAATTCATCACAAATTTTTGTCACTAAAAATTACTTATCTTGTAGTGGGAATCTCTGCTTCATAAATTTCAACCAAAACACAAGTTCAATTGGATCACGGGCACAATGCACAATCTTTCATCCAATGAAAAACAATCAAGATCATTATCCAAATTAAACGCATGCTTGAAACACTACTGGGAGAACCTTAAATTACTTACCAAAAGGTTGCCGACGTGAGACATTTTTGTTGGTATATGATTAAATTACCGGCATATAATATGTATGTACATAGTAAAACAGTAAAAATAACTTTAATTTCTATTATTTAAAGTTTAGAGGAAGATGAACTCCAGCAAGCAACCTGATGATTGTGCGACTCAATGAGATCGGTGAACTGTTTACTAGATTTAGAAATC